ATTATGGTGCTTGGGACGACGTGCTTGTCAGACAGCGCAAGTAAGTGCGAGACGACTTAATGACGTATATCAGACACAACTCTGTAGAGGAAAGATGCGTAACGGTCTCGGTTGAAATATTGTACATGCCAGTTCATACGCGTGGTGAAACACTTGGAGTTTTTGATTTAATGAAAGAAATAACTCGGCTAGAAGGACGGTTTCGGTTGAAAAACTTGAACGAACTTGGTTGTTGGTTCCAAAGCATTGATGAAAGCAGATTATAAGTCTCGATCATATTAAGCTAACGAGTTCTGACTTCGACAACAGATAATGAAGCAAGCTTAGCCGACGTGCTAAATGGAGGGAATGATATAGGTTCCATCACCTCAGGATGCCGAGGTAATAGAACCTAGGGGGCAGTTGTGGGGACATAATTTTTGAATGACAACACGTGGCCGAGGTGTCACCGAAGTTCCAGCCGAGGTACCACGTGTCCTGGTCATGATGCCGAGATGATCTCGGTTAGGCCGAGGTTATCAACGAGAATACCAGAATCCGAGATAAGCGGATAAAGAACAAGAGTCCTAGAATGGGAGGAGACTTCAGTTTGGGTAAAGATGAGACTCTTAGAGAGCTTATCCTGATCCTATTGGGAGTCCAAGATTAGTAGTAATCCTAAGTCCATTGGAGTTAGGCTTCCATTGGAACTAGGATTGAGTTGGCTATAAAAGATAGGCACCCCTATGGGTCTAAGGTATGTCTTTTTATGCTCAAGCTAGTGAGTTTAGCACTATTGATTATCTTTGAGAGATATTGAGTACTGACTTGATCGTCGGAGTATCCCTGGGTAGCGAACCACCACCGGAGTCTTTTCTTTTTGTTGCAGGTTAGTCAGGTGCCATCTATTCTGTCGGTGCTCTCCAGCTGGATACTAAGATTGCAGTGTGGTCAGATTTCACCCACACAATTAGAGTTTCAAAATCTCATACAAAATCTATATATTATTATAATTGCAAAACATTGTCATCTTATTAAACTTTAAAGTTGCAATTCTTTTTATTTTTTTATTTGGATAAATTATGCAAATGATCCATGTAGTTTACACGATGTGTCAATTTGGTCCATGTTGTTTCAATTAGCTCGATTTGCCTCTTAATTTAATGGATTGTGTCATTTTAAAATGACACAACAGGGACTAAATTGAAATAATAGGGACTAAATTGACACATGGTGTAAACTATAAGGACTTTGTATAATTACCCTTTTTATTTTTTTTGTTTTGTTTAATTTTTGTTAATATGTGTCACAATATGATTGGTCTATAAATTAATTTTATATTCTTAAAATAAAATTTTAAATTTAAATTCTTCCTTAAATTATGTGACCAAAATAAGATCAATATTTATTCCTTAATTTATGCATCTTTTATTAGAGGGACTTTTTTTCATAAATCTCTTTTTACCTACTTATGTTCCATTTAACCCACATTATTTTCTTATATTCCAATAAGTCATATGAGTGACATAGTTACCAAAATACCACTAATAATATTCACATTTTCACTGTGAATATTCTGTGATGTGAATATTCACATCGTCAATGTGAATGATAACATGTCAATGTGAATATTTACATTACAAAATATGAATGTTCACATTACTAAATTGCTAACCGTTCAAAAAATATTTGTAAGGGTAGAAATGTCCATAAAATATCTTAAATATGAGAATTAGGATTCGATAGATCAAATGTTCAAATAATAAGACTTATTAGAATACAAGAATATCTTATAAACTAATAGGGATACAAACACTTCACTACAAAAAAAATTATTTTTTGCGACGGCAAAACACCGTCGCAAATACCCCAAACGCCGTCTCAAAAGGTATTTGCGACGGTAAAATGGTTTTTTGCGACGGCAAGTGGGGGTCGCAACAAAGGGGGTTGCAAAAGGATTTTAGTGACGGCAAGTGCCGTCGCCTTTGCTTTTGCGACGGGAAAATTCGTTTTTTGCGACGGCAAATTTCTGTCGCCAATAATGGATGAAAATCTGAGTTTTTTGTGACGGCACAATATTGCCGTCGCTAAAAGGGTTTTTTGCGACGGGAAAAAATACTGTCGCTAAAAGTGTATTTGAGACAGCAACCTGAGCCGTCGCTAATGACTATTGTCGACGGCAATGATACCGTCGCTAAAGGCCTTATTTTTCAATTATATTCCCAACCTTTTGCGACAGTATAGGTGCCGTCGCAAAAAGCCTGGTTCAATTTTCTTTTTGAGACGGGGTGTTCTGCCGTCTCAAAAAAAATTAAAAAAAAAAAAAAACCCTGTATTAAAATTATTAAAAATATCAAAATAACCTGTATTAAATGAAAAATAACTATAAAAAAATCAATAATTACATAATAATATAAAAAGTCCAGTATATAAATAAAAATTCATCCATAATTAAAATATTCTTCCATTCATAACAATACATCAGCAAAATTATCCCAATACATAATGTTGAATAATATATACATAATGTTGTTCACAAATCTAAATAACGTAAATTAAAAACAAAAGTTTTCGTCATGATTCTTCCATGGGTTAATATTTTAATCTTTATACGCCTGCATTCCACAAGAAGCAAACTGCTACTCCGGAAATATCTGAAAATAACAAAATAAAAATAATTAATGACAATATAATTGTGTTAATATTTTAATTACAGAAAAACATAAAAAATTAACTACTATATATATAAAAAATTGGCAGAATAAGGATTCATACTTTTGTTGCAGCCAAAGATTCTAGGAATATTTATTTATTTATTTTTGACTCACGACTCTGATGGCATTAAAACTGATTGTTTTGAGGAAAGTACATTATGTCCTTACATGTCACAGTTTATAACAATTTCTTTTAACAATGTGAGATATGGGTTGGCAAAAATTAGATCATGAATAGATCATGAAGACTGATAAAAAAAAATTTAAAAATTTAAAAAAAGCCTTTCCTATGTGAAATTCAAGAACCAAATGAAATGCATATTACTGCCATCTTCATATTGACAGCATATACAAATGAGATTTGCAAGAATCTTCTTAGTAATATCAATATATCATGTGCGCATACATGAGAAATCAAAGGATTGAAACAAGCCAATAGCCCACCCATCCAGCTCCATAGACCAACTCTACTTCTAGCTTACTGTAGAAATGACTCCATCCAACTATATGTTTTAGACTACCACAATTTTTATGTAAAATCTGTACTAGTGGAGACAAAGGAAAATATCAAATAACATTTAACTTAAATTAATATTTAATATATAGTAACCTTTTGTTTAACAATCTAGATAAATAGAAAAGCATGATAATACATGATTCATTGCAGACCAAATAATATGATTGTTTAATACATGCAGAATCTTACAAAACAATGGTTTAAACCAAGGCACAAACTAGTCATAAAACAAATAAAAAGCATTCAACAATAAAGAAATATAGTCATCAAAATAACAAATTATACAAAGGCTTGGGTATTTGATGTCCGCGGCACAATATATCACACAAGCGAAGGAATAAAAAGGCGTGGACAATGCGCAGTTTAAAATTACTAGAAAAACATGTAACATGTGATGATGACAGAATTGTACCTTTGGAAGGCTCCAACAGCTGATTCTTTTCAAGAATCTGGGATTCTTTTACAGACTGAAACTGGAACTGCCAACAGGAACATGTGTGGGCCCATTGACTGAAATGGTAGAAGATCTGTAACATATAGACAAAATTCAGAGTGGAAACACAATTTTTTGCAAAGAGATGAGCAAATTAGGCTAAAAAAACAAAATGCAACATATTTACTATGTGACATGAGGGTTCGCATGATTTTTTGTTTTTTCTGGAACTGACAGGGAGGGCTTAAAACCTCTCTCCATGCTATTACTGACTGCATTTTCCTTATGAGCACTCACATTCCTTCCACCACCAGCACCTAGTAGTGCTAAGACAAAAAAAAATCCAATGAAATATATAATATAAGCAAAAATGAAGGGGGTGAATTGATATTTGGTGATTTACAGATCTCACAGAATACAAAGCCAAAATATTTAAGAACTTGCAGCTGAAAAACAAGTACTTGTGTCTTAGTTACAAGGACTCAAAATGAAAATTAAATGAAGCACATCAAATGCAATGTCATGAGGTTTTTGTCCTTATCTCTATTATTCTATGTGTATAAAACAGTGTCCAACTTTTGAAAGAGTAGAAAAAGAAAGAAAAAGCACTCCTCCTGAACTAAAAGTTCAACATCTGAAATTACAAGTCACATGCCCGATGGAAATTTAAAGAAAAGATATCCGGTCTACATCTTGGCAACTTCTAGTTAACCAAACTGATCATTAAGTAAAACATGATTTCACGGCACGATTTTTCATAATTCATTAAAGACACGACACCTCTCAAAGATTACCCATTAAAAATAATTTCAAATTCATTATGAAACTACATACGAGCTATGAAGCATGGATATGGTTATTATATAATATTGATACATCAATACGACAAAACTTAAAATATGAATAAGGGTATGGCCCGAAGGCAAGAAGAAAACAATAAAGGAAAATCAGCATTTACACGTTGTGAATGGCTGCTTGGTGTTAAGATACAGAATGCCACCAGCACTACCCACTAATTAAAATTTATAATGAAACAATTATACTCTATATGGCTTTTGGAATAACCATAACCTCTTATGAACAAAAATTAAAGAACAACCACGATTGTAGATATAAAATAAATAAATGACAAGATCGTTGATATTATTAAAAGAAAGAAACATAACAAATAAAAAAGGAAAAGACTTAAGCTCAAAAAAAGTGTTTTCTATTCTTCCTTTCTTCATTCTTATCCACTTCATTCTTATTTGAGTATTTCTGTTCAGTAAGAGAGGTAATATTTAAGGTTAACCTCAGCTTCAATTTCAGATAATCTCTTCTGATGAATAGAAAGTTTGGATTCAACCTCTGCCAAAGCATGAAGTTGCCTTAATAGATCACCACCACCCCTGCAAATATTAGTTACCGATTTAGAAAGTTAGATTACCAGAAGGGGATAAAAATAATTAAAACCATCTTCTTGTGTAGAATAATAGCAACAATGGATTTTACTTTTTAACACTTGTAAAAAACATAAATATGTGCAGGAAAAAAAATCAGAAAGTTTTCATAGTTCAATAAGCACATTCCAATACTTGTAGATAAGGTTTTGGCAAAGAGTAGTTAAGTAACAACTGACCAAAATTATAAATCATTACCATTCTCAAGAATGGGGCAAAAGCATCAAGGATATTTGCTTACTTGCAACTTTCACCAGTCAGAAGGCCACTAGGCTGAAATATATCACCCTCGAGAGTGGGGTGCCAATTTTTCTATTAAAAGTAACCTATGGACCAGTCATTAATGTGAAAATGAGATCAAGCTCAACAAGATAACAAAAAAAAAAAAAAAAAAATTTATTCAAAATACGTGGTAGTTTAGACACGTACAAGATGACAAATTAATTTGGTCCAATGCCAAAAATAAGGTTTAGCTAACACTTTTACAGATCAATAGCACAACCTTGAACCAAAGCGCATGTGTTTCTAAGATGTTTAAACAATAAATTCATTCATCAATTCTAACTTTTGAGAAAAAAATCCAACACCACATGTTCTCCGATCCTTTTTTGCAGTGTTGCTTAGTGAACTACAGTACATTTAAATCAAGACGTAGAATCAATGTTGTACTCAAATACAACATGACCAGAAACATAGCAGCAAAGCAACAAAAGAAAAAATGTCATCTTCATATGGAAAATATATGTTATAATCATCTACAAAGGCACCTTAGGGAAAAAGATTACTGAAAAGGACTTACCTCCCTCGTTGCATCAATAGTTTTGCAAACAAATGTTGAACCAAATACATATTCCATAGCACGCTGCAACACACATCAACTCTCTTTAAAAACAAAATATAACTAACCCAAGCCAAAGTTCTTTTATCCAACCAAAAACAAAAACGCACGAATGCTAATAAGATTTTGCCCATCCATTGCTTATTATTCTTGGCCAGATAAACATGATTCAATGATATAAATGATATACCATTAAGAAAGGCACGTGCTAGAAACATTCCAGCGCACACAATTGCACATGGGCAAAACAACAAATGGTCTCCAGCAACACCAAACACCATCAATTCAATGAGCAATAAAATGATAGAATAGCACAAAAAACATATGTGAATTTATACCTTCAGTTCCTGATCATATCCAACCAAAGACAGAGCCACTTCTGCATTCCCCTTGCCAACCTGAAAACCAATGCCAAAAATAAGGTTTAGCTAACACTTTTACAGATCAATAGCACAACCTTGAACCAAAGCGCATGTGTTTCTAAGATGTTTGTCAAACAATAAATTCATTCATCAATTCTAACTTTTGAGAAAAAAATCCAACACCACATGTTCTCCGATCCTTTTTTGCAGTGTTGCTTAGTGAACTACAGTACATTTAAATCAAGACGTAGAATCAATGTTGCACTCAAATATAACATGACCAGAAACATAGCAGCAAAGCAACAAAAGAAAAAATGTCATCTTCATATGGAAAATATATGTTATAATCATCTACAAAGGCACCTTAGGGAAAAAGATTACTGAAAAGGACTTACCTCCCTCGTTGCATCAATAGTTTTGCAAACAAATGTTGGACCAAATGCATATTCCATAGCACGCTGCAACACACATCAACTCTCTTTAAAAACAAAATATAACTAACCCAAGCCAAAGTTCTTTTATCCAACCAAAAACAAAAACGCACGAATGCTATAAGATTTTGCCCATCCATTGCTTATTATTCTTGGCCAGATAAACATGATTCAATGATATAAATGATATACCATTAAGAAAGGCATGTGCTAGAAACATTCCAGCGCACACAATTGCATATGGGCAAAACAACAAATGGTCTCCAGCAACACCAAACACCATCAATTCAATGAGCAACAAAAGGATAGAATAGCATAAAAAACATATGTGAATTTATACCTTCAGTTCTTGATCATATCCAACCAAAGACAGAGCCACTTCTGCATTCCCCTTGCCAACCTGAAAATGTAGGATAATAACCTTCTGACAAACACAAACAAATACGGGATATATAAAATACAAAGAAAGCCAAATACAAAGACAAACCAATCTAACAGAAGCATTTTGGGATTGAATTTGGTTTAGATGGATAACTGTGTAACTCTTCTTCGGAGATCACCATTTTGAAGAAGTTGCTTTCCAGTATTTTCTGTGTCTACTATAATATTAAACAATTTTCTCCTGCAGCATCCTAAAAATGAACTGAGTGTAAGAGTCCAGTTATGATTATGTTTAGAACATGTCAAAACTTGGCAACATATTATACCATTTCTAAAATAAACCAAGTATATGGCATCATGCAAGGCCAACCTCTAAGGCAGTCATTGTGAAGCCATCCTTCACTTTAATAAGTTTAGTAACCGCACCGTTAACCCTAGTCCTATCAAGATTCTTCATGGGATCATGGTATGTGAAATACATGCCAAAAGAATTCGAATTTCATCCATTAACTTCTGCACTAGCTCCAACTCAACTGTACGATCCTGAAGAACAATTTAATAATTACAACTCACAATTTACAATACACAGAAGAATTTTGACCAAACTGAAAACTTATGCCATCTGAGGTAGAATTTGTAGCAGAACCACCATTGGAAGAGATACCTTTTGTAAGGCTTCCATCTGCCCCTCTTCATACAGAAGAGATTCCAAAGCCAATTTGACATTTTCCACATCTTTTGTTCTAGCATCGAGCTCATTTTCTACAACAACCGCATCTTCACGTTTTGATAATAACTGATTTGCTTTCTCTTTCAGCTCTTTCTTAGAGTGGCTTATTTTTGTTTTCAGGAACTAGTTTGGGCTTGACACCAACTTTGTATTTTTCAATGGATAACAAACAAGTTATGATATTTCCTAAGAGTATTGCAGTTAACATCCCCATGTAGTTCATGTATTCACAACTTATAATTACTAAAATATTAAGTGTAGAACTCAAGCAAGCAAAATTATGTTGCACATTGTGGAATGGGAAAGCAAAGGGTGTGAGGGTTACAGTCACTGATTCACGTATCAACAGGCCATCAAATAATGACAACTGCAAACTCTTGACCATTATGTTTATGCAGGATAAATGACAAAGTTAAGAGACACACTTGCACACACTTTCCAAGTCCGTTGATTGTCGGACCATACTGACCATTTGTATCATTATAAATGGAGATTGATTACGAACCTTTCAATATGGAAACACGTGTCTTCGCATTAGAAATTGGAAATTTATGACCAAGCCAATGAAATTCTGTCATAGATGCAGCCTGCTGAGATCTTGCCTCAGCCATAACAGCCTGCAAATCGAGATAAAGCGAGACACGAGATAAATGGCAAGTAATGTCACAAAAGTCTGGAAATTCTTTTCCAATTTTACAGATAAGAAGCAAATATAATCTAACCACTATTAAAAAGGAGATGACCATAAATAGATCAGGATACAACATTATTCATAGCTTAACCTCTGACACAACTAAACTTACCTCTAGTTTAGCTTTGAAAAGATCGAGTGCAGGTCCTTCCATTTCACTAATGTGCATGAGTTCAGAAGTTTGTAAATTTGACTCACCAAGTTTGTGTAGACAGTACCGTATACTTGGTTCTAGTTCCTCAACACGCTCACGGTACAAAACCTGATTCTCTAGGTCCTCATATTTCCCGAGTTCCTCATAAACAGCCCTATTAGATAATGAAGTTAGCTACCATCCAACAACGATACGACTAAAGGAGAGGAGAGAAATTCCTGATAGTAGAAACATTCTAGATAGCCAAATTAGAAAGGGAACAAAGATTTTGAAGAAGCCAAAAATGGAAAATGCACAAGGATATGCCAGTAAATTCAAAGAGCAAATTACTCCCAAAGAAGGCAGAAAGGAACCTTAATCAAAATTTCATACAGTGAGAGTTCATATCTAATAACCCACACCACTCTATGTAATAGATTCAACAAAAGAAAAATTCAAGGCCAAACCCATCTATCAAGCAAAGACACTGAAAATTAGAATAGAAAAGTAGGCATCTTTGGGAGTAATTTCATGGACTCCAAACTCCAATTACCTGAAGCCCAACAACACGACCTAGAAAAATTAGAATGAGGTGGAAATGTACCAAAAAGTATGCACACACCCAAAAAACAAAAAACAAAAAAATCAAATAAATGTAAGGAGAGAGGGATAGAACACAAAACCCTAAAAATTTAAAAATAAATAAAACAAATAAAAAAGATGGCTAGAAAATTTTACTTGAAAGAAGTGCCTCAATCTCAAGAATATTCATTATGTTTTCAAAAAACAACAAAGCTATGGAAAATGGTAGCACACAAATGGCCAGAAAGAGAGAGAGAAAAAGAACATGAAGAAGAAGAAGAAGAGCTAACCTGGTTCAGAGATTGAGACTGACTGAGAGAGTTGAAGAGAGACACGCCGCACCGTCGTCGCTGGCTAGCCGCCGTCGCACGTTGCTCGCCGTCGTCTGCAGCTGCTTGCCGTCGTCTGCAGCTGCTTGCCGTCGTCTGCCGCTGCTCGCCGTCAAGAGAGAGAGAGAGAGAGAGTCATAAGAAGAGATGGGGAAAGATTAGGGATTTTTGGTTAAGGGGGGAGAGAGAGAGAGTCGCAAGAAGAGATGGGGAAAGATTAGGGGTTTTTGGTTAAGGGGGGAAAGATTAGGGATTTTTTGTTAAGGGAGGGAAAAACGAGCGCCAAGGAAGAAAATAGCTGAGCCCAGATTTTGGGGGTTTTTTTTTGCGACGTCAAGTTTCATACCGTCGCAAAAAACTTGAATTATTTGCGACTGCCGTTTTTGCCGTCGCAAAAGCTTGTTCATTTGCGACAGGAAATGGTGCCGTCGCTGAAATCCAGTTTATTGGCGACGGAAAGTGGTACCGTCGCAAAAAATCACTTTTTGCGACGGCAAATGATGCTGTCGCAAATGCTTCCGTGTTATATACCCTCTTTTCTTGTAGTGCTTGAAAAAAGATTTTCTAATAAATCTCCCTTTATTAAATTATAAAATAAAATTTTAAATTTAAATTGTTTTTTAAATTATGTTACTATAATTATAATGAAATCAAAATTCATATTTGTCATAATAATATTATTGGTCTAAACATATTATGTTATTAAATACACGTATTTATATTATTAATCACTATTGAACGTTTATATATATATATATATATATACATATATTTGTCATTTTTGGTTTTAAATTTTATAAAAACAAAAAAAATTATATCCTTCTAAACTACAAGGACTTAAATAATAAATTTTTTTTTACTAAAAATATTTTTTTTTTCACAAAAGACAAAAACATTAAAAAAAAATGAATGCTTTTTTTAATAATTGCCAAACATAATGGATTCTATTATTATTTTTTTATCTCAATTTTCACTTAAACAAATTAAAATAAAAAATAAAATTTTTTTTATGGCTTAAATAGTTAAGAAGTGACTTTTGCTAAAATCAAATTGAAATAAACATTTTTTTCTATTAAAAGTAATAGTTTGTTAACTTTTTTTTTTTTTTACGTAATAAAAAAAAAATTGTTGTTAAGTGTTGTGTTTAAGATTTTTTTTTAATAAAAAAAAAGAGAAAAAGAAAATAATTGTATGGACAATTTACAAGTTGAAGTTAAACCGAAATCATTGTTGTTAAACCGAAATCATTGTTTAACACTTGTTGAAATTTGTGGACAATTTCCAAGCTGAAGTTAAACCGAGATCATTGTTTAACACTTGTTGAAATTTGTGGACAATTTCCAAGCTGAAGTTAAACCGAGATCATTGTTTAACACTTGTTGAAATTTGTGGACAATTTCCAAGCTGAAGTTAAACCGAGATCATTGTTTAACACTTGTTGAAATTTGTGGACAATTTCCAAGCTGAAGTTAAACCGAGATCATTGTTTAACACTTGTTGAAATTTGTGGACAATTTCCAAGCTGAAGTTAAACCGAGATCATTGTTTAACACTTGTTGAAATTTGTGGACAATTTCCAAGCTGAAGTTAAACCGAGATCATTGTTTAACACTTGTTGAAATTTGTGGACAATTTCCAAGCTGAAGTTAAACCGAGATCATTGTTTAACACTTGTTGAAATTTGTGGACAATTTCCAAGCTGAAGTTAAACCGAGATCATTGTTTAACACTTGTTGAAATTTGTGGACAATTTCCAAGCTGAAGTTAAACCGAGATCATTGTTTAACACTTGTTGAAATTTGTGGACAATTTCCAAGCTGAAGTTAAACCGAGATCATTGTTTAACACTTGTTGAAATTTGTGGACAATTTCCAAGCTGAAGTTAAACCGAGATCATTGTTTAACACTTGTTGAAATTTGTGGACAATTTCCAAGCTGAAGTTAAACCGAGATCATTGTTTAACACTTGTTGAAATTTGTGGACAATTTCCAAGCTGAAGTTAAACCGAGATCATTGTTTAACACTTGTTGAAATTTGTGGACAATTTCCAAGCTGAAGTTAAACCGAGATCATTGTTTAACACTTGTTGAAATTTGTGGACAATTTCCAAGCTGAAGTTAAACCGAGATCATTGTTTAACACTTGTTGAAATTTGTGGACAATTTCCAAGCTGAAGTTAAACCGAGATCATTGTTTAACACTTGTTGAAATTTGTGGACAATTTCCAAGCTGAAGTTAAACCGAGATCATTGTTTAACACTTGTTGAAATTTGTAGATAATTTACATGTCAGGGCTAAGGTTGTGTCAAATTAGGTACTTGGGTACTTGCCGAGGTAAATCATCAGTTTGTATAACTGAGGTGTGTCACCCCGAGAAGGTTGCAAAACGATTGAAGTGCTTATTAAAGATATGCAAAATATTCTAAGTATGGAAGCATACAAGGCAAACATATAAGTATTCAAAACAAAAGAGTTGAATTAAAGCCACATCGACGATGTAAAGAGTTTACATTACTTCAAAAAGAAAAACAAAGTACAATCCAGTGAGGCAAAGACGCATGGCTGAAACGGTTGGGTTGCTGTGCGTGACAGCTTTCACGCGTGATGACACTCTTGGAGTTCTTGATTCAATGAAGCAAATGCCTCGGCTAGGAGGACGATTTCGGCTGAGAAACTCGAACAAAGCTTGGTTGTTAGTTCCAAAACATTGATGAAAGCAGACTATAGGTCTTGGTCATATTGAGCCGACGAGTTCTGACTTCGGCAACAAATAATGGAGTAAGCTTAGCCGATGTGCTAAATTCGAAGAAATGATATAGGTTCCATCACCTCAAGATGCCGAGGTAATAGAACCTAGGGGACAGTTGTGGGGACATAAAATTTTTGAATAACGACACGTGACCGAGGTGTCACCGATGTGCCAGCCGAGGTACCACGTGTCCTAGTCATGATGCTGAGATGATCTCGGTTAGGCCGAGGTTATCAACGAGGATACCGGAATCCGAGATAAGCGGATAAAGAATAAGAGTCCTAGAATGGGAGGAGACTTCAGTTTGGGTAATGATGAGACTCTTAGAGAGCTTATCCTGATCCTATTGGGAGTCCAAGATTAGCAGTAATCCTGAGTCCATTGGAGTTAGGCTTCCATTGGGACTAGGATTGAGTTGGCTATAAAAGATAGGCACCCCTATGAGTCTAAGGTATGTCTTTTTATGCTCAGGCTAGTGAGTTTAGCACTATTGATTATCTTTGAGAGATATTGAGTACTGACTTGATCGTCGGAGTACCCCCGGGTGGCGAACCACCACCGGAGTCTTCTCTTTCTGTTGCATGTTAGTCAGGTGCCATCTATTCTGTCGGTGCTCTCCAGTTGGATACTAAGATTGCAGTGTGGTCAGATTCTCACCCACACAATTTGGCGCCGTTTGTGAGAAAGAAAGGAGAATAGATGGCCATCACTGTACAAGATCAACGTATCGGAAACGACGAGTTTAGCAAAGATGGAGAATGTGTCGACATAAACGGAGTGAAGACCCTTCCAGAAGGGACGTAAAGACAGGGGGCATGAGTGCTCCCGAGGAGATGACATTCAAGTATAGAAGAGCTCAGCCCAGGTGAGCAAATCCCGGATTCTAGATCCTAGATCCCGGATCCCAGAAGACAAGATCTCGGCCTAAATAAGTAGGTCCGAGAAAACAAGAGCTCAGCCTAAGTGAGCAGATCCCAGATTCCAGATCCTAGATCCCGGATCCCAGAAGGCATGATCTCGGCCTAGATGAGTAGGTCTGAGCAGACAAGAGCTCAGCTTAAGTGAGTAGATCCTGGATCCCGGATCCCAGAAGGCATGATCTCGGCCTAGATGAATAGGTCCGAGAAGAGAAGAGCTCACCCTGAGAGAGCAGATCCAAGATTCCAGCAGACAAGACCTCGGCACTTGAGGCCGAGAAGAGAAGAGCTCAGTGAGCAGATCTCAGATCCCAGAAGGTAAAAAGAAAACATACAAGGTCAGACTGCAGTTAGCCAAGTTGAAGACCTTTTATAAGATCCACAAAAGAGCATGTGAAAGCCATGCAGGGGGCAAAGAGAAGAAAGATTATTGTTTAAACACTTGTTGAAATTTATAACAATTTACAAGTTGAAGTTAAACATAGATTATTGTTTAACACTTGTTGAAATTTGTAGCAATTTGCAAGTTGAAGTTAAACCGAGATGATGTTTAATGCTTGTTGAAACTTGAGAAAAGTTTACAAGCAGAGTTAAACCGAGATGATGTTTAAAGCTTGTTTAAACTTGAGAAAAGTTTACAAATTGAAGTTAAACCGAGATTATTGTTTAACACTTGTTGAAATTTGTAGCAATTTACAAGTTGAAGTTAAACCGAGATCATTGTTTAAATACTGTTGAAATTTGTAGCAATTTACAAAATGAAGTTAAGCCGATGTTATTCCTTAATCCACTTGTTGAAATTTGTAGCAATTTACAAAATGAAGTTAAGCCGATGTTATTCCTTAATCCACTTGTTGAAATTTGTAGCAATTTACAAAATGAAGTTATGATGTTTAATACTTGTTGAAACTTGAGAAAAGTTTACAAGCAGAGTTAAACCGAGATGATGTTTAACACTTATTGAAATTTGAGAAAAAATTACAAGCCAAGACAAGGTTGTACTGAAAGAAGTATCTACATACTTGCTGAGATTACCATGTTGTTAGGACTTGGAAGATAATGAAAGACAGAAGTCTTAAGAAGTAAAAGAAAAGTGGCGAATTTTTGAGCAATACTTGTGAAAACATTTGTTACAATGTTTTCAAGTATTAAACCGAGG